TTTTAATGTAAGTCAATGGAACCAGAAGTCTTTTGGGCCATTTCTTGTGGTCCATTCATCATGAAATTTACACACAATGTAAAAGGCAACAGGCATTTTTAAATGATGTCAAAAACTGAAAAACGACAAAAACAGAGATACAAGGTTTTCTTCCGACAGCAGCAATATGCTATAATATGCTAGTAATAATCATTCCTCATTCCACACAATAGACAAAGTTGTCTGCATTGAAATTTGTTGACCACTTTGTTTTACCACTTTGTTTTACAGTCCTTTTTAGAACCATCTACAGCTCTCTTCATCATTCTATACACATCAAACATTTTTTCTTGTACAGCTTCTTATACATTAGTTGAAATCTATGAAGCTGTAGAGTAGTAGCATCACATGATCATTTTATATTGTACTATACTTCATACTATACTATACTATATTGGTTTTATATTTTTACAAACAGTGATTCCAAACTTTTGAACAGGAGTGTACCTCAAATGCCTTGTAGACCAACTTGACTACTTGACTCAAAAATGTACTAATTCTGATGCTGTTATGAAAATACACAATGTAGGGGAATATATGAGGATCAAACCAGTTCAACCAACCAATATGACTTAATCCCTTAAATGGCCACGGCCTGCCGGCAGGCCCAAGGTTTTATTATACACTTATACGAGAATAGCTTCACTAGTTTGCATTGAAGTCCCTGTAGTTACTGAATAATAAGCCTTAGTATGTAACAAGCCTCTCTCTGTGAAACAGAATTAACAAGCATGCTGACTTATCTGGGCAAACAAGTTCCCTTCAAACTGTTGTATTAGTTGTTCAGTTAGAAGACAAAACACATCCTGTCTGTGGTGTTGGGGTAACAAAGAAGTACTGATAATAAAGAAATCTGAAAGGTAAAGATCATGTATCCCAACTTTATGTCAATGAAACAAGCTGACAGGATGCAAACTAAAATGTTTATTACTCGGCTATGAAGTTGTATTTTGTCATTTTGGACATTTTACTGCCATTGCTTCTGTCATATTTAGCTAAGAGCCTTTTAATTCTCCTTAGAGACGTATTCTCTTGAATGCTGACTTGAAAGTGAATATTTTAAGCTGTGGAGAAACAGACACCAAGTATTTGTATATTTCAAGTTAGCTAAATCACTTTAGTGAAATCATAAGGCCATCTGTGAATCCAACTCAACTCAATTTCTATAGGCTTGTAGGCTACAGGGCCTCCAACATCTCTATGTCTATAAAAAAAGAAGGAAAAAAAGCACCCGAGTGCTTGATGCGGACTGTGCCTGTTGATTAGATGTGACAGAGCCCATAGCTAAAGCCTTGCAAAAAGTGTTTGGGTGTTTTATTAAATGGCATCGAAAATCTGAGCTGTCTCCTGCCTCAACCATTAGACGAAATGCCCTGCCACTGATGTGGCAAATGGTACGAACACATTCAGTATGGCTGTCTCCTCGAGCTACAGCATCAAAGGTCATCTCAGTAATGTGTTAGATGCTTTTAAGTTGCACTCACTTAATGACTCTAAATGCAATCCAGTGGGCTATATTCTGAAGGACTGACGTTACAGCAAAGTGTTGTACACAGATCGCAAAAAAGCACATATACAAAAATGAATGATCATTAGTGATGGAAACTGTATTCTCACCAAGCTGTATTGTTTAAGTGTACTATTTTCTTGTCTGAAGGGTTTTTAATTGACTAAATACTTACAAATCTAAGCGAAAGTAAAGAATGGAAATAACATTTCCTTTGTAAACTGTATTATAGATAGTGTTATAATAATTTAGAAAAAGAAAATCCATCAAACTGCTGTGTCTATGACAACAATGCACAAGGATGAATAATTTGTAGTTACTTATAGAAACTGTCATTAAAGGATTTCAAAATATTGTTACCAGAAAATACTTACCAAATTTTATGCAACATATCTCTTTTTTGCAAACATATGATTGCATCAAGCTCATTCATTAAAAATTAACGTGTTCCAAAATAGAAAGTACAAAATAACGAATTTCCTCAAATTTCAGACATATTATGTTGAAATAATGGCTTGTTTTCTTAAAACAATTATTTATTATTATGAAATAATCACATACTCTCCGGACGAATATTTTAGATTTAGAAATGTTCTGACTTTGTGCTTTGTCCTAAATTGTTTTTTTGTATTATTTTGACCTAATGAGTCAAAGACAGAACCTGAAACAGCCTGTTTCCTATATAGTGGAAACAGGCTTTCACACAAATGTTGTGCTAGTCATGTTAATTACTAAGTTGCACCTGTGTTCATTTGCATGGAATTTCTTAGTAGAAAACCTGCTAAACTGGCCACCTCCACCAGTGCAAAATGTTGGTACACTGTCTGTAATTAGTGCCTCTTTTAGTAAATCTGCCCTGAACTGAAACAGTGTGATAAAGAGATGTGGGAGTAATATGGCAGTGATGAGTTTTGTAATCATAAATTCACATTTATTAGAGATGGTACAGATGACTAATACCACTTCTTCTTTCCTGATACCAATGTATCAGGTCATACTGATGTGATCTATTTTTTTCTTTAAAAACTACTAAACTTTAAAATCAGGTATTTTTTTAATTCAAGAACTTCTGTTAAGATGATCGTCTAAAAGTAGTCTTTCATACTGACACCACTCAAACACTCTACTGCCCCACAGGAAGAAAAACCCAGCAAACAACTTCGCATCACACAATCACACAGTGTGTGCTATTTCAGGATTTGTTACAGAAGTGGATCATATTTTTTTTTTCTTTTGCTTTTATATGATCTCCAGCATTTTCTGCTGACATCAGCCTCATACCTGCTATCAGATCAGTACCATCTCTACATGGAACCAAAGGAAATGTTATTTTGGGTTTAAGAATAGTGTAAGTATTAGGAAGAACTCTAATTTAAAAACTTCATAGTGCATTATCAATGTCTCTCCCTAAGTTGTGAGCAGTCACTCATTCTCCCTTTACTGCACACCGTTCATCAGAGCTAATATACTGCTAATATTTTGCTTTTCCAGTTTACTCACGTAGGATCCGCTGTGTTTGTTAAAGTGACAGAAATCATCTAATGAGCACAGTGTCAGAAGTTCTGAGTTGCCAAAAACATTGGTGGTCCATCTATTTTAGTTAGACATGCTTCCGAGATCTCTTGGGCCCTAGATGCAGACTGCGAGACAGTCATTAGTGAGCTCAGGCTAAGAGCACAGATAACGGCCTGCCTTTCCAGCCACAGAGAAATAAAAAGAAGCTACTTAGTTACAGCATCCTCACGTCTGTCAATGAGCCAATGAATCATGCTGGACCGGGTCCAAGACAGTCCACAAATACTCTTCTACATCTCTGTTCTTGCCTCATTTCCTCTGTAAATACTGGTTAAAGTCTAGGTAAGTGTTCATATTTTGAAATATGCTGATGCTGAAACAAATGACATAGTCCACATACAGGCAAACTGCCATGTCTGTTGACCTTTCTGACTGAAGGGTTTAAACTAACACAGTCACTGAGCGAGAAGCGGCTGTTCCATAATGCTGCCCTGTCACACTTTCCTACACAGTCCAAAATCCAGTTGGTTACTACCTTTTCTACAGTTTCCTCTCCTTTCTGTCACGGAGTCCTTCTCACCTCTTTGGATGCAAGACATTTTCTGGCAGTATTTTGAGCTGCATGCATAAAAAAGCCACGAAAAAATACTGTATTCTCCTGCCACCGCGATAAATAACTTGTTTATTTTGCTGAAAAAACTGTGCCCACGCTATATTTGGAATACAGTACACCTGCTTGAAGGCAGCTCATTAATATCATCTTGCCAGCGTTGCTTCTGTGACTGTGTCTAAGCTCACCTGGTAAGAAGTCCTGGTAGTCCTGTAAAGCAGAAACAGCATATTTCATGTTATTTTGGGCTTTTCTAAGAATTGTCTGTTTCAGTTACTCATTTTTGCACAGTGTCACCACGTCATGTGTGTATAGGGCATATCATCATGTGTAGGGATGCAAATGATTATCCAATTAACTAATAACTGGCAAATTAACAATTCTAACCAATGCTATTCATTAAAAATTGTATTTCATTTCCAATAAACGACAGTTCCTATTTGAACAGGCAGGTTTATCATTCAAGATTTTGAACTGTGTGCATGATGGAAAAATGAGTTCCACTAGATGGGCCTAAGAAAAATGAAACATGCAGGGACGACAGCATAGCTACACCAATGTACCATATCGAAAGCAAACATCCACAAGTGATAAAATGGACAACGATTTCGTCCAAGTTCTCTGAGAGAAAGTGGGACGCATGGCTATATAAGGATATCATGGGTGTGCAAAATTACAGAGAAGGATGCGGTGGACGGCAACGGCTTTTGAGAGCTACTGTATATCACTGTATATCAACTATTTTATAATGGCTTTGAACAGCCAATCAAATTTTAAAAAATGGAACTATCTGTTTTATAATTGATATTTTGATCGGTCACATCTTTGATTTCAGGCTTGCCCGTTAACAAATAATAGGCAATTAACAACAGCTGGTTATCAGTCAAAAGAATCTGCCAAATTTAGCATCCTTAGTCCTGTAATACTGTGTCTTCATATGTCTTCATTGTTTACATCATATATGTCTTCATTGTTTACATCATATATGTCTTCATTGTTTACATCATATTCAAATTTAATGTGGGGGATTGTAGTGCATGTACTTTGGATTTCCAGTTGCATACTTGCATACTTGACTCCGCTAACTGTGTACTTATGATTGTAAGTCATCAGAAATTGTAGCCCAACAGCACAATGCTTGACTGCTCACTCAAGATCGCTACACATTTCAAAAACATTCCTTTATTATAAATAAATTATTTGTATAAAAAATTGGCATGCTTCAACCATGGCATATACACACTTACAACCCAGGGCTAATTGATCAGAGTAGCCGATACAAGAGACAAATGCATTTTCCAATGCAGATCTGACACTGTGGAACAAGAAATAAAAAGTCTGCACAACCACGAAATACTTACAATTAGAATAACGACTAACATGGTTGACTCCAATATTTCCTTTGTTTTCTGAATTTTTATATATATTTTTTTCCTCTCGCTCCTTCACTGACATCCAGTTAATGTTCACTGCTATGCCAGCAGCGACTGCTGTGCCATTCATTCTGAGTGCTGCATGGCCACTAGTGTAAATGTTAGAAAAAAAAACGTTCTTGTCTCAGTCCAACCAGTCGTTCTCTTTACTACGAACAACATCATAGTGTCATGCTTTAGCTCCAGTCAGTGCCATTAATCCATGCCTCATGTAAACAATCCCAGAATCTTCTACTCAGGATGCATCTTCATATGGCATGATTGGTATAGCTGACGTAGGTTGTTTTTGTAGGCGGTGCTGCAAAAAAAAAGAGAGTCTTTGAGAAAAGGTCTTTGAAATGGATCGAAGTATGATGATGCATAATGATGCCTTGGAAGGGTTAATGTAACTATGGCAGCTATAAAAGGCTATTTTTAGTGTATCACAGCCTTATGGCATCACACTCTGAAAGTGTGACTTTACACCTAGGAGCAGTATCACACTTTTCTTTAACAAATTAGATGGAAGTCTAGATTCAACATGTTTCTCATTCATAGTGTACTCTGTGAACACACAGGAATTCTCACTTGAAAAAAGACTCCTCCAGGAACATGCGAAATGTGCTTGCTTAGATTAAATAAGATTACTTTGATCTTTTTTCATTCAGTCAAGTAAAAGTAATTAAGAAAATGTGTAAAAGAATTTTACACATTAATTCATTTTTCTTTTAATGCTTAGTATTAAAGTAGGCCAAAACCTAGTTGGTAAACTGAAGCTCTAGATTAAATTCTAGCTCTAGATTTTGGTGTTGTCTTGCTTCAGAATAGAAGAACAGTTCAGGAAAAAAAATGTACACCCCCATTCCTTTTACCCCAAATGTAGCTGATCAGCCAAGACATGTTTGGTGTTTGTTCTTCAGGTCAAGCCAATGGGGCTTCAACAAGTACTGCTGCATTTGGCCAAATTGGGGCTGGAGATAATAAAAAATATTCGGGACCAACCAGGCAGTGATGTCAGTGGTTACATCCATCTGAAAAGACTGCATTGCATTTGGGCTGCAGTATATCATGAAGGTACACTATTTGCCCAAATGTCTGTAGACAACCTGTTTAATTGGTGAATTTAACCACATTAAGGTGCATCCATTGCTGACACAGGTGTTCAATTGCACCAAAATAGCATAAAGCTTGTACAATCTCCTTAGAACAGCACTGCCAATAGAAGGGAATGGAGCATCTGCACATCAACCTAAGGTCACTATGCCCAATGTCTAGCGTTGACTAGAGGGGTATAAAGTGCCCCAGTATTTGGCTGTGAAGCAGTGGAACTGCATTCTCTGGAATGATGGAGCTCCATCCAATAACCTTGGAGTGGTGTTTGTGATCCAGAACTAATCATCCAACATCAGTACCTGACCACACTAATTCTCTTGTGACTGAATGCAATCAACATCTTGTTTACAGACTTTCCAGAAGAGTAGAGGCTGTTACTACACCAGAGAGGAAATAAATTCCTTATTAATATTCTTTATTTTATTCTCTATTACAGTGTAGCTCTGTCCATATACTAGAATATTTGGCCAGAGTAGTACATCATTCAGTCAGTATCTTTGGCGTACTGGAGAAATTCATTTTGGACATGTACAGCATACTATTTACTATTTTTGGGCACAGTCAGTACACGAGCAGCGTGTAGCGGGCTATTTCGAACACACCCATACCTTCATCTATAACTACATCAAACTATGTCAGTACCCAATGAGCAAATCTGTTTGAGACTACTTAACAACTGATTAATGATTTAGGCATGCAGTTTCATAGTGCTAATAGATGGTCATAAGCTTCCATTATTTTTTAGCCCCATGGTACATTAGCCTACAATCTCTAGTTCAAAGCTAAAAAAGCAAACGTCTGACACCAAACATGTCTTTGCTGTGTGACTACATTTGGCAGAAGGGGACAATGGTGTAAATCTGATTTTTCACCCAACATACGGCATGCTGTACATGTACGTTTGATTTATTTTGCCTTCAGATACAAGTCAGTATGGGGTAATCACCAAAGAACTAGCCTCCAGTATTATTGTACTAACATTTCATCACAATAGTGGGTTTGTAGGTGCGTTGCTCCTGACGATGCTGCTGTGTCTGGGATGGATCTGTGCTGATGTTGAGCCTCTGGTGTAAGCTTATGGATAAACTCTAACAAAAGATAGTCTTTCTTGTGCCTTTGCCTTGCAAATGCCAAGCTCCACAGCCCATTACATGCCATTTTTGACACCAATTATAATTTGGCTTACCATCAGAGCCTGTTCTACAGACAGGCCCTGGCACAGCACTGAAAGCCTGAACATTAGCATCTGCTTTAACAGGATGATGTGTATCTGACAGAAAGCTGCTCTTAATGATCATAACCCTTATCGTATATGAAAAGTGGTCTTCCTGCACTGACTTCTGACACTTCTCAGGCAAAGTAGAATCCACTTCCCATGTCCTGGTTTCTCTAATGAAATAAGCTGGCATTCAATCATTCTCATTCTGGCTAGAGTTTTGATGAGCTCTGATTCTGCCTGAGAGGTTATTCAATCGCAAATGCTGCATCCAGCATCACCACAGTGCCAAGAGCATATCCAATGAATTAAGAATGATACCTCTTTAGCTGAATGTGTTCTCATCTCCTTCATTTCCTTTCAGTAAAACGGAGGTTTATATCACACTATAAATATATGAGAAGCTGAGTGATTGAGGTCAAGGCTCCAAATACTGAATTAGACATATTGCCAATTCACACAAAAGTGAAAAGGGGGTTTGAAAGAAAACCAGAACTGTCAATGAAGTTATCAACATATGAACAAAGTTACATCATAAACTGTCAGTGTGTTCTATTCTAGCATAGTGTCATATGCAAAAGTTTGAACACCCCCAATCAAATTACATGTTTTGTTGATTTTCTAAGTCAAAATTAGTTAACACTTCCTCTACAGGGAACAAACTTAAATAAGGCATTTTTAGTGTGCAATTTCTATTTATTCACTAAGTTTAAAGCTACACTATGTACATTTTGGGGATTTGGGGACCTCTCTGGTGAAATTGTATAATTGCACACGAGATGCAGAAGAATTTTATAAGATTTTCGAACATCGGTTGTGTTCAAACTTTTGCATATGACACTATGAGCAGACAAATCTGATAATTTGGGATGACGCTGAAAGTATTCAAAGAGAACTCAGTTAAAGGGATATGTCTTCTGAGGATATAAGTGAATTATCTACTATTGTCATCATATCTTCATCAGCGTAATGCTGATTTTGCACTTGATACCTAAACATTGAGCCGGACCTTCTTTTCGAGTCTATGCATGCGAATATAATACGTAAGATGTATGACACTATATTTTAGCTCGTTTTTTATTCTCCTGACTCAGTAATGATACTTCTTTCAATTTTAATAAGACAAGCTCACATAGTGAATCTTTAACATATTGGAAAAAGTAAAAACATAAAATATAAAATGTGCCATCACTTCCACACAGGCCACATTTTATATATTTAATTCAGCAAAATAACAGTAATTTTGCATTAAAGTGTTATTTTCACTTAGAAAATCAACAAAATGTCATTTACCATGAGTGCCCAAACTTTTGTGTACAACTGTATAGTGCAGAATGGAATGATTTTATAACGATACAGAACACTTGAAACATGTTTCACAAGTTTGTGAAAGTGAAAGAGAAGTTAGCTGTACTCACTGCTGTTGTCCACACTCTCGCAGAGCTCAGTTTTCACCTCTCCATTTGGCCTCTCGCTGGCCAGTTGGCTGAGCTTGCTGGACATGGTGGCGGCTGTGACAATCGCCTTGAAGCTGCGCTTGCGTTTGGGCACGTTTTGCTCTGGGTGGAAGATGATTATATAGACTTTAGGCATATAGAGCATCCCCAAAGATACAGACGCACTCAGGCTCAGGGACACGGTCAGGGTGGTCGTCTGGATGTACATCTAGAAGAAAAGATGAAGCATCTTTATTAAAAAAAAGTCTAGTTTCTCTGAGGATGGAAATATTCTGACACCTATACGTTTCCTCCCATGAGCTTAATGCCCTTTAGTAAAAAAGCTGAGTTATACATAATGTGCTTGTAAATACACATCAATAAGCTGTCCATCCTGCTCATTTCCTTAGGTGCTTTTTTCATAATGAGGAGCAATGATTTTGCCCCCGGAAGAACCAAGATTAATATAGGTCTTCAGATCTACAATAATAAGTGGAACAGGGCAAGCCGTAGAGCAGGCTGAGGAATGTGCATTGCCTTTGAGGTCGATTTGGAGTATCTAGGACACTGAAGACCAAAGACCGAAAAACCCCACAGCTTGATTATGTGGTCAGACCAGCACCAGAAGCTGCTGCAGCAGTTAGAAAAAAGCTGAGTTACTGAGTTACTTTTTGCTAGCCTTTTACTTTGTCTACACCTTCTACTCTTGTGCAAATAATGTGGTTTTAAAATGAGGTTGTTTTCCAAGGGTAGAAAAGTTGCATACACAAATCTATTATAATCTGTATGATTCAAAAGAACTGTCAGCTTTTTCTGTATTCCATTATTACATTCAGATACCCTATATGTCCAAAAGTATGTAGACACCCTGGCTAATTAGTGATTTCAGCTACTGTAAGGTGTATCCATTGCTGACACAGTTGTTCAACTGTACACACACAGCTTGTATAATCTCCACAGAAAAGCTTTGCCAATAGAATAAGACACTGGAGCAGCAGCACATGAGCTTAAGTCACCATGTCCAACGCCAAGTGTCAGCTAGAGGGGTATAAAGCAGACCAGCATTGGACTGTGAAGCAGGGGAACTGCATTCTTTGGAGTAAAGGAGCTCCATCCAGTACCTCTGAGAAGAGCGGTGTTTGTAATCTAGAAGTAATCATCAGTAAATGACCTCACTAATGCTCTTGTGGCTGAATGCAATCAAATACTCACAGCAATGTTCCAACATCTAGTTTAAAGCCTTCCCAGAAGAGTAGAGACTGTTACTGTAGCAAAGGGGGTACAAACTCTCTATCAATACCCTTTTTCCAGAAGATATGTTGGATGAGCAGATGGCTATAAACTTTGCCGCACTTAAAATATTACATTACATAAGCAAGATTAACCAAGAGTGGGGTATTTTCCATTTGAATTGCAGACTTGTATTAACATATAATTCACATATACATATACTTTTGTAGTAAAGAACTGAATACAGCAGGGAATTCTCCATTTTGTTGTTACAGTACATAAAGATACATCAAGAAATTCTTCTACCTGGCACTAGAGTATCCTCAAAACGCTTTCTGACACATTTTCATTACAACCTAGGATCTCAAGTCTTACTCAAGGGGACAGTGAGACAGTATATTTGATATAAGAACCTAAAGGTTTCTGAAACGTCTTATTTCTTGCACCAAAAAGAAATTCTAGCCTGCAATTCTATGGTTTCATGGATGACACCTATGAGTGCATTAAAAAAAGAAAACACGTGGCCACATTATATTTTAAGCAATAGTTATGCTGTGTTAAGCCATGGACACATGGACACATTAATAACACTATAGTATAGTAACCACAATGAACCTGCAACTGATCTACTGTACTAAATCACTAATCAGTACTTCTATAGTTTGTATGACAAACTCAGTGGAGTTACGGAATAACTGATGTTTGAGGGAGGACTATGCCTGAAACTCCTCTTTCCAATGCAATGCCCTATAAATGCCCTACCTACTGTTTCCTGTGACAAAGTTTTTGTAATCTCCACCACAAGCCTATCTCCTCCTTGTTCTTCAGTTTTAAGTCAGTACTACCATCAGCCCAAAGACAGGGTCCAGCCTTCTAGCTACAAGCAGAACTCCAGTCCAAATTTTCAGTTCTCTGCCCTCCCTGCAATCACACAGTCTCCCCTCCTTCTACAATCATATGCTAAAGGCACAAACTCACAAACATTTTATTACATTATCAAAAATACCACTGCAAAACAAAATGAAGTCAAATGTTTATGAAAATAATCTTCTTCTTCTTCTTCTTCTTCTTCTTCTTATTATTATTATTAAGCGTTGTCAGTTCGATTCTGACTCCTGGCGCCCATAGTGTTTCTCCATACTATCCTGTCTTCTGTTTGGGTCTTCAGGCTTCTTATTGGCTTGTTCATGATATCTCAGAATGTCTATCTTGTTGCTGGTCATCCTCTTCCTCTTTGACCTTTAACTTTTTCAAGCATAACTGTCTTTTCCAGACAATTGGTTTTTCTCACAATATGTCCAAAACGAGAGATCTTGACTTTGGTTATCTACGCTTTAGTTTAAGAGGTGCATCCTTTTGATTATTTTGTTTACTGTCCAAGTGTAGCACGGCATGTGCTACCCCAGACTCAAGGAGGATGCTGGAGGCAGGAAGAACATTTGCAGCAGCCATTCCTTTAATGTTCACTCAGCAAACAACACAAACTCAACAAACCAAAATCAAAGACACACTGGCCACTTTTCAGTGGCTTACAACTAGCCAGACTTTTCAGTCTTTCTTACTCAAGCTTTTCAGCTCTCCAGTCAGTCTCTTGTGGCTGCTGCTCGTCCCTCTCTCTCGCCTTGTTCCCTCTCAGCTTTTTTAAAAGGCGCTCACGCTGCCAGCCAGATCAGCTGGCTCTCATTAAGGGCACCAGAGATGAGAGGGACCAAGAGCTCGCTGCTCCGCCTCCTCATCACCGCCCCCAGCTTGGGTCGAACGTGAGGTGTAGTGAAGGGGCCTCGCTGCGGAACAGGGGGCGGGGGCAGGGCCAGGGCGGCGGAGCTCGGGACTCGCTCCTTGGCCTCGTGCCTCTCGTGGCCAGCACCGTTGTCCTCCTCCTCCATCACTTCTATATCTTCACCATCAGTGGTAAAGTTAGTGGTCTTTCCAGTTGTCATAACCTTTGTTTTCTACATGTACAGCTGAAGTCCCATCTTTTCAATCTGTTATTTAACTTTTTTTATAAAGGCTTTCGTTTCTTCTTGACTTTCCACTGTGTCATCTGTATATTGAAGGTGAAACATGTTTTTTTCACCAATCTTGAATTCTCAATCATCTTCTTCTAGTCCTGCTCTCTTATTAAATGTTTAGCATACAGATTGAACAAGTATGTTCATGGTATGCAGCTTTGTCTAACTAATTTGCCAATGAGCAATCAATCTGTCCATTTTCTGTCATGACTGTAGCATGTTTATCACTGGCGATTTTCCTCATTAGAACAATGACAGGCTTTGATATACTCATTTTCCTGAGGGCATTCTATAATTTTACGTGGTTGACAGTCAAAGGCTTCGCTATAGTCAATGAATCCTGCTTGCACATTTGGTAGTTCTTATTCAGTGGAGGGCTCTGGTCTGTGCTGAATGATGTTGAGCATAATTTTACTGACGTGATAAAAGGAAAATCGTACTATAGTTTGAACACTCCCTTTAGTCTCTTTTCTTTGATATTTGAGATATAAGATAACCTCTTCTAATCTGCATGTCATTCGGCAGGTTTTTCCAGATTTGTTGGCATAATTTTAAACAAATCTTCTTTTGAATCCTGAAATATTTCCATCGCAATGTTATCGACTCCTGTGGCTTTCTTTTTTGGCAATGATCTCTGATGTCCGACTTTGTCTTTTAGTACTGTGTGACAGACCAACCAAAGTGTCTTAGCTTTGTCATAGAAGTCTTCCGTGTTTTCCCACCATCTTTGTTTGATTTTTGTTCAATCTGCTATGACTTGTCTGGTGACATGTCTGAACACACTCACTCTAGGCGGAAATTTATTTTTGGTCTCACTTTTCTGGAAGATCCTTATTTTTCTTAATCTTTTTATCTTTCAGTACCTTTTGTTGTAGTAGAGGTCCTCATCTTTCCAGGCGGTTATCTGGAATTTACAGTTTAGTTTTCTTTAAAAATTTTATCCTTCTTAATTTTGGCCCTGTTTTTTTTTTACAGTTTCCACTGTCACCTACTTTGATCTCTTTTTCCTTTTTGTTCTTCTTAAGATCTGATTTATCTTTGATGACCATTGAGTTCCATCCATAGCTCCTATGGCTCTCTATCAATTATGTCCAGCATCAGAAATCGGTTCCTGATGTTAGGGCGTATGTTTTACAGGTCATACTTTGGAAGTCTAATTGTTTCTTCTCAGCTTCATTGTAGCTTGTACATTAAAACTTCCATTCTCTTAGTGCAGTGTAATCTATCTGGTTTCAGTGGTTGTATTAGTGATAAAAAAGTCACTACACTTAAAGATGCTGATTACTCATTCTCCTGCTTCATTCCTGTTTCGAAGGCTATGTTGTCCAACAGTATTTCCTCCATCTCATTTCTGACCTTACTATTCTAGTGTCCCATCACTAGCAGTGTATTCTGTTTGCAGGTCTTGTCAATTTTAGCTTGAGCTTCATCATAAAACTTTCAATTTCTTCTTCACTTGCATCTCCTGTTGGTGCATTAACCTGTATGATATACATATTCATCATATTTTTAAAGCATAACAGTAAATAGTGGTTTTGAGAGATTATTTACAGGAAAGATGTTTTTGTTTCTTTCCGCACAACAGTGTATTTCTAAGACATAAAAGAGAACAACTGAAGCCAGTCCTTAAGGGAACTAAGATGGGGATTAACACCAAAGCAATGTGGGAGGAGTGACTAAATAGAGCATATTTGCACAATGAGGGCACATGAACATACTCTTACCTAAGAGTTTAAAATCTTTATTCTATTGACAATGTTGAAAACAGGTGATAGTCAAGCAAATAAAGAGGCATTACAGTACTGTGTGCTCTGAAAGGCAAGCAGACAGTGGGTCTCAATAACCACCTGAGCACACGGATGTGGAAAAAGCACAGTAAAGCCTCATACTGAATGGCTTTTCATATTGCGTTGCTTAATCTTCTGAATATCAGCAGAAGAAGAGAAAGAAGTGAAAGAGAGATAATCACACAAGAGGAAATATGCTTTGCAGATTTAATTCCACTGCAGGTCAGCGTATTGGCATTTTGCTGAAATGAACAAAGAGTCACAGATTCGAAGAAAACAATTTCCTCCCGTACAAAACTTCTAATTTAATACAATCTGTGTTTGTTGCTTGTTGAGTTGTTTGTTTTCTAAGCCGTCTTAGGGGAACGTTTCGGAAATCTGGACGTTATATAGATTTCCGGAAAAAACATTTGAGGCGTACTAATCCTTCTTATGCATACTCAGTTCATTTTCTTCTTAGAATGGCTTTTATAATGAGTTATTGGTAATTTAAGCAAGCGATAAAATCTAATGAATGCTTCTAACATGTAAAATTGCTGAAAGGCCCACTTTAACTTGCTGTGAAATGGCGGAATGGTGAAGATTGGTACAGATATACAGTTCGTACAAAATATCAGAATTAAAGTGTGTAGTATACAATTTGAAATAAATATTATTACACTTATTGGACTTACTATTTACTGTAGAAAACTCTAGTAATGCAAATAGTTCAGATTTTACACAGCTGAGTAAAACATTCATAGGTCTTGGTTTAGCCTATTTAATGTATTTTCAAGAGATATCTGTGAAGCATGCTTTTCAGGGTCAGGATCTCATCTTTAGGTAAGTATTTGATCATTTATACACTCTTACAAGCTCATGACTGATGATGTGAATCAAAAGGTGAAATCACTTTGAATAGATTAGTGTAATAGATTTATTTCAGCTGCCCGACCGCTGTTTTTCTGCTAAAGAAATCAGTTCAAAAGATTCAGAGACTAGAATTAGATTGAACTAATAGAATTTATGCTAGAATATGTTAGAATAGAATGTGTTATACTGTCAAGACGTATTTAGATAATAGATCTCTTTCTACAGCGAGTACAGCATACAGTTTCAGTCTTTTGGCAATCAATAATAGATATGTACATCTGTATGCCTTGCATGTATAAACTCAGGGAAAAAGGAATGCAATGAAAAATTCCTTTCACACTAGCAGCTACAAGAAAAGTACAAGTAGAACAAACAGACTACAGATCAATATACAACTCCGAAAGGGCATGTACCAGCTAACACATGGAAAAAGATGTACTTTGAAAAGAAGAGCCAGAGCACTTAGAGATATAATTACATGTATTTCCCGTATCACAGAGAGAGAAATTAGGAAAGAGAATTATTAAAGTCTTCACCAGCCACCACTGTATATCTCAACATACCCATTAAAACTGTAATAATTACATGCAAACTGTATTAAAGGGCAACTTGAATTGCACAGGGAAGTGACAAAATAAGTGTACCCCTGAATAAAGCTTGTGCTGAAGAACTGTGGTAGTTTTTCCATTTTAAGTCTTTCCCTGCCCTAGCTTAAATAACTGTACGCAAGGTGAGCTCATGGGAGTAAACAAAAAGACTGTGTACGCCGTGCTCAGATGAACAGCAAACACCCAAAGACACTGAGCATTAGGATGGCCTCCACACTGCCAAAGTGTTTACATATATGACCTCCACTGCCAAAGTGTTCACATATAATATCTAATTGGGGCTACTCTAAAATGTCATCCACTGTTCTTTTTAATCGCATATTACTTTAGGTTAAAACTGGTTTGAGCTACCAGTAAAAAAGACAACTCTTCTCCAGCATAACACAGCATGCGCATCAAACAGCTGGAATTGTCTAAAGGAGGAAATAAACAACCGGCATGTATATTACTCAAGCAGAGAGTGTGTAATGATGTTTTTGGGTTATTCACAAATGCAAAACAACTGCGCTAATGAGTAGCAGGCAGAAATATTTTGCAAGAGAGAACAAAGTCTGCAGCCTTCATCAGCTCTAGGGGCCTAAATTAACTGGCAAAACACAGAGGAAACTTCTGTCAAGAGAAGACTTTTAATTCATCCCAGATATGCCAGTTTATTATAGCACTGTGGTAACTTTATATCTTTAAATAATTTTGTGCATAACATGGATAATATGGATTATATATTAAGTAGGGATGCAACAAAAGTTTGACCAAAACAAAAAACCCAAATGGTCCAAAAATTTTAAATGAAATAAACAAAGATTAAATAGACCTACAACAAAGTGCCAAAATGTTGCCAGATGATTTTAACTGTGATGAGATAACAATTTGTGATTAAGACACTGTTTTCTTTCGCTTTGCTGAGCTGATCAGCGCAGATGCATTCAAAGAGTTTGAGTAGCGTAAGATAAACAGTGATCATGTCAGTCATGTGGCTGTTTCACAAGGGACATTAGATAAGCAATTTATAATCTCTGTTCACGCTGAGTGTCAAGAGGGGATACAACACGCAAGAATTTCTCCATTCTAGGTTTCACTCCTCTTGAAAACACTACATCCCGCTTGACATGCAGAATGCTGCAAAACAACAGAAACAAAAATGAAACTTTCCACTCTTCAGTTTTTAAAATGACAAAAAAGAATCACAAAAAACAGCGTAAAAGTGCAAAATATGACAAAACATAATGAAATTCATTGCCCTGGATGACCACCTCTTCTCTGACTTTGTGACATATACTGTAGGCAACGTACTGTAATCATTTTCGTAAGTCTATTTTATGCAAGCTGTTTTTATTTTTTGTCAGTTTATTTATTGTTGGTTTTGGTTTTTGGCCGGGTGTGGTCTGACTGCTCTGCGGTCTAGATTACATTTATCATAGTCTTAATTCAATGTACACTGAATGTGTCAGGCATGCAAAAATTGTTCGCAGCAGAGTGAATACAAATTTGATTATATTACATTTAGCTGATTCTTGATATGTTGTACCCTTAGATGGATAGGAATAAGAATATCATTTAACTTTTGCCTCTAAGCATAACAGATACAGCTAGAGTGTTAAAAAAGACCAATGTATAACCATTTCAATAAGTGGCTTATGAGGGAATAAGATATAAATACCTTGAATTTAGGCTAAAAACTGAACTCACCCGCTCTGCAGACTGTGCCGTCCCAAAGAAGATTGGAATGAAGGCAAGCCAAATGATGCAGGTGGTGTACATAGTAAATCCAATGGGCTTGGCCTCATTGAAGGTCTCTGGTACTCCTCTGGTCTTGATGGCATAAACAGTGCATGTGACCATCAAAAGAATACTGTAGCCCAATGAACAGATGAGTGAGAGATCAGATATGTCACATTTGAGCACTCCACGAGCGTTTTCGGGGTCCTGTGTGCGCTGCTCGCCGTAATCCACGATCGTGTGTGGTGGGTCAGCAATAAACCACACCAGCACACCCAAAAGCTGCACTGAGATCAGGCTGAAGGTGATGACCAGCTGCGAGGCAGGGCTGATGAAGCGCGGCGCTGCCACTGAACGCTTACCCTGCTCGAAGATGCGGTGGATGCGATTGGTCTTGGTAAGCAGCGCGGCGTAGCTGAAACACATACCAAGGCCTAAGAAGATTCTGCGGAAAGAGCAGACAGCCACTCCAGGCGTTGCAATCATGGGAAAGGTAATGATGTAGCAGAGGAAAATTCCAGTCAACAGCACATAGCTCATCTCTCTACCAGAGGCACGTACAATCGGTGTGTCGTTATAGCGTATGAAAGTGACTATCACAAACGTGGTGGCGATAATGCCCAGAATGGCAATGAAAACAGGCACCACGGCCCAGGGCGAGTGCCACTCCAGCTTGATGATGGGGATGGGCTGGCAGCCAGTGCGGTTGTGGTCTGGTCGTTGCTCATATGGGCAGAGCTGGCAGGTGAACTCGCTGGCCTGGTAATGGTAGCCTTCGCAGCGCTCGCAGTGCCAGCAGCAGGGCACTCCTTTAACCACTTTCTTACGCTCGCCCGTCCGACAGGGCAGGCTGCACACTGAGGCAGGCACAGATGAGTCACCACTCACCCACTGCATGGCATCCATCTATATAAGTAAAGCAGCACAACTATCATCAGTGCCATTATTTCAGTGTCATCATCCTTTCACTGACTATGAACACAGATGAAATCATCATCATCATCATCTCCGTCATGGTCATCATCACATTTTTATTTATATAGCGCTTTTCCCATGCTGAAGGATGCTTTACGAAGTCATAAAACCCATTACTTTTGCTGACATTATTCATGATATGGCTACTTAAATCTGTCACAAAACATTAATTAAAACTTAAAAGCATGAATGTCATTTCTCACATTTAAATGAAGATGATCTGTCCAGTGGCCGATGACTCTGTACTCAGCCATTGATCCATTAGTAATTTGATACTGGAATATGTCATATCGTCCAGGAGCATCTCCGTTCTCATTGAATGTTACAGGGGTCTTGGCACTTCCTGTTAAAAGAGTTAGAGCATTACCATTACAACAAGTGAACCACATATCCAATATACAGGATTGGTGCTGGCATTGATGCTAACCATGTTAAATGATTTGCATATGTACCTGATGCAACTGATTCAATTTTGATACTATTTCTTAGTCATCATGAAACTGTAATAGTGCAATTTTACAAACCTTTAGAATATCATAAATTTTACAAATTCAAAAGACAAGATATGGAATGTTTTACCTTATCAATTTTATTGTTTTTTTTGTAAACATATGCTCATCCTAAAATTGAAGCCTGCAACATGCTCCAAAAAAGTTGGAACAGGGGCAATTTAAGACTAGTAACATTGTGAAATCATCAAAAAATATCTTAAACAGGTGATGAAATCATTCTTGTGTATTAAAGGGGTATCCAGCAAAGGCCAAGTCTTTCATGAGCAAGGATGATTCAGGCTCACCATTTTGCCAAAATATATCAGCAAAAAATCCAACAGTTCAAAAATGAGCAATTGCAAGGATTTTAGGTATTTTACCCTCTACAGTGCATAATAACATCAAAATATTCAGGGAATCCCAATAAATTTCTGTGTGTAAAGGAAAAGGCCGTAGACAGAGAACAGAATACCCATGACCTTCGAGCCCTCAGACAGCCCTACATTAAAAAATGGGATTCATGTGCTACCTTCTAGACTACGTCTTTTCAGGGATATTCATGCTTATTTTAATGTAACAACACCAAGCCACATTCTGCGCATGCAACAACATGGCTGCATAATCAAAGAGTGTAGGTGCTAGACTGGCCTGCCTGCAGTCCAGACCTGTCTCCTGATGAAAATGTGGCACATTATATAGAATATTATATATAAAATATGACACGGCCCTGTATGGCTACACAGCTGAAGTGTTGTATAACAGAAGAATGACAAAAAATTCTGCTTTCAAAACTGGATCAGTTTTTGTCTTCAGACAAAATGAAAGGTAATGTAACACAGTGGTAAACACAGTGCTCCTGTCCCAACTTGTTTGGAATGTGTTAGAAAGTTGGAATGAGCATATATTTACAAATAATTAAGTTCATCAAACAGAATTCACTAATCACTGCTTTCTGTTTTTTAAGTATTTCACACACTGTCCCAACTGTTTTGGAATTGGGATTGTAAAACTGTTCATGTGCTGTACTATGAAATATGAATCAACTAACAGAGCACTGATATCACTGATATCAGCTGATACTCTAAAAATATTGGCATTTGTTTTGGGAGAGAATATGTTGGATTGATGCATCCCTAATCACAATTATCACCAAGTGTCTGTAGAATACTGAATATGTGCCCCTCGGCTGCATGGCTATACTTGGCTACAGTCAACAAGCATAACAAGCATTATTTTAGACATCAAAGTTACAGTCTTAGCATAATCATCACCCCCTCATGTATGATATGCAAATATGACTTAATCTAAAATGGATAATGACATTATAATCATGGGGGCGGGTGAGGGTTGGGGGTTGGGTTGCATTGTATGTGATGTGCAATTTGCTAATCCTTCATGGAACCACAGCAAATGTTTCAGCATTATCAAAACATGGTCACCCTATCACTACAAGCCATTCTTAACTTTCTCCCTGGCCTTTTGAAATGTTTCAAATCGGGGTACTTTGAGAGGCAACAGGACAAGTAATGGGGAGGGAAACAAATGAGCATTTCAGGAGACTGGGATGCCATGCATTATTAAAACACCTGCAGAGAGCCAGCTGAAGCAGGAGCAGTGGGCCTGGAGGACTTAAACGTAGCTTGCTTCTGCAATACAACCCACCCTGATGCACTCATTGAACCAGTAGCAACTTTCAGTTCAAATTCAGGAACTAATCAAAACGTAAATGTGTGTTCTTTCTAAAGCATCTTATTGCACTAGGAAAAACAACAAAGTAAACAAACCAACTAAGCAATCAACCAACTGACTGAACTGTCCCTGCACTAAACTGAATATAAACCTGGGTCACATGCATCACTGCAGGATCTGAGCCTCCTCATCACAATGCATGGCCAGCAGCAATCCCCAATCAACTCTTTGTCCCTGGCTCCTCACACATATAATCCAACAGCCTAAAACAAAGACTATGATTCTATGATAGAATGGCTAGCAGGTTCAGAAGATGTTTTGATTAACCCAAATCTAGCCTTAATCATAGGTTAGCCCCATTCTGTGGACTCTCAATTAGAAAGCTGGAATTCAGAACAGACTGTATGTAACCTGACAAGAAAAAAATGAACGTTTCAGTAATTAAAGAATCAACCTCTTGTAATTTAGGTTCAGTGTGTGGGCACAAGTTTGTGTCTACTTTAAGCCCTACTTTTCCTAGTAAGAATATATGCAATGCAAATCTCATCTGCAGCAAAATGAATCACACTCCTGTTCAGCCTAAGGATAAATTTGCTTATAACCAACTGCTGCAGATATTTAGTGTTGAACCTGGATGTGTTCAGCAGTCTCACATGCTATGAAGATTTCACCTGTCTCTGTAGAATATAAGTTCAAAAGGCAGCGTACATTATTAAACACATATGACATAAATTGTGTATTAGATTGACAGAGCTAATAGAGCACAAGTGTCCTGCTGCTTGTTATGTGTAAGGATGTGTGATGGCATCTGAATGTACTGTACTCGGGTGATGCAACATTTCGCATTGACCCAGTTGGCTCGTTGGTACAGACAAGCAGACTATGTACTGCAGATAAAGCAAGCTGTAGGATCTCTGAGTGTGTGAAGCCATACTGAAGCCAGCTCACAAAACCTGAAATGATTTCTCTATTTTAGCAGGGCTGTCAACTTCTTTTGTTGTTTATATGTTTAGCTGTAAGCTTTTATGTGGAAGCATTATTAACTGTTCTACCAAGTACAAAATTGGTCATTCTGATGGAGAGATTTTTGCCCTTTTGTGTTTACTCTTTTGGATGTGATTTTGGCAGGACTACATTGTAAGACACTGGTGTCAAGTGATCCCTTGACCAACCAGTATGAGCATGGATTTTAATTGGCAGCTCAGTTCCACAGCCCTCCCTTACAGCTAGCACTTTAAAAAAACATCCTTACATAGATTTAATGAAAAATATGTCTGCACTGCCTACCGGAAAGGTCAACTCAACTTTGTTGCGTACAAATGCTAACGCTGATTGAATAATTCTTGAATAATATGAAAGTCGCCTACCGTAGCCATCTAACCACGGTGCTGTACCTTAGCAAGAGCTAATGCTGTTTGGATAATTGGTCAAATTCCTTTAGCATTGGCCAATAACACTAACACTAACATAGTCACTCCTGGTTGGACACAACTACCCCTGTACGCTGACATCTCAAAATCTAATGATCCCTCTTATGACCTAATGATCATCAAGTCAAATTTTAGGATTACTGAACTAATTTTAATGTTGGCAGTCAAGCTGCCAGCCCATTTAAAGTACCTCTGATTCAAATGAAGTGAAATAGTTTTCCCATGAGGGGCTTCAACCACATAGACTGCACAAAAGTAATTCCTGCTAACAGTTTTTAATGGGGGTATGCTCGAGTGGAACACTTACAAGCCTTCTTACAGTAAAAACTAAGCCACTCAAATGCTCAGTACATGTGGAGAACCACATTACTAAAGGACAAATGTAAAAATTTCTTGTTTCAAGGAGGAAACCCACTTATCAGCAGAAAGAGAGAGAGGAATTCACAGAGCCTGTAGGGTGTGCCTATTAAAATACTGCATCAGACTCTTTCCCTCACCAGAGACATCAGCTTTTCACTGACACCAACGCTGTGGTTTCTCTAAAATTCTCAGAGTATTAAACTGGTTTATTGAATTGGTTTAGCAGCACTCTTTCCTTGCCTCTGAGAGGTTTATCCTCATATGAAATGTGAGAAGCCTCCCTGAGGCATGACCTTTGACCTCATAAAGTCACCCGAAGTCTGGCAGCAATCTCTCACTCTGACAGGACTTTATATTGGATGATTTTGTCCCAAAAGAATATGAAAAAAACAGTTGATAAAGGGAAGTGCAAGCACAAGCAGAAGCAGGGCTTCACATGACTACAACTTTGTAATCAAACGAGCTCACAATGTGCAGCTAACGTATTTCTCATGTTGAGGGCAGATGGTTGAATCTTTAACTCACAATGAACATGTCAACCAAAAGCTCCTTCACTCTGTCAGTTGAAGCAGATCAAGGAACTTGTAACGTGGATTATCCTCCTATTGTGGCATACTGCTGACCGATTTGCAGGTTTTACATCTTCAGTCTTTTAACTTTACCCCTGAAATCGAATCAAGTTCACCAACATTGATCATGTCTAATTTTAGAAAACTGATTCTAAAATGAATTCTAAATAATAGCTTTTCCTCTTTTTTGAGTGTGTACTGGACTATGTGCTGTGGGCATTATGGCACACATGCTACAACAGTGACATCAATCGTCATAATGAGGATCTCCAGGACAAAGTAAAAACGGCCTTTGATAATCCACAGCTTTCCCATAACAATGCAGTTAATCCTAAATATATTTAATCTACTTGTTGATGCAATAAGTGCAAAGCTTATTTGCATTCTAGCCTTTCGCTGAACATTCTCAGCATGTAATTCCATGAGCTTTGGGGGTTTGTTTTGTTATTCTGCCTCTCGTAGCCATTATAATTTAATAAAATGGTCTCACAAGTAGGGCTGTCATAATCATGAAATTTTAGCTGACGATTAATTGTCAAATAAATAATTGTGATTAACAGTTTAATTTTCTTTTCTTGTTCATTGTATGCATCTATTACAGTACAACTCTAAAGTGACCAAAGTGGCTTATAAGCCATCTTGCTTCAAAGCTATGTTTATTAGGTGGCTTACCCTAGTACTGTCAGATTGGAACACTACCCCGTTGGGTGTGCACACACACTCTCACACAAAGGTTTCAATTACACAGAATCATGTGCAGTCAAGCAAAGCTTATATTTTTTCTCAAGAGTGAAAATATACACA